CAGCAATTGCATGCTGCCAGACTCAAGATACCAGAAAACATCCACTCAGTGCCAAGGAGCACCCTGCAGATGTTCCTGAGAGCCAGCAGCTCCAGGAGACAAGGTGGGGCAAAGCTCTGCATGGACATATCAAAAGAAGTATGGAAGTGCCATAGCAGCATCCATGGAGGCCTGAAGTGCCCTGAGGGACTTGCTAGTGACAACAGCCTTCAGCAGTCTCTTATCTGGCTCAGCCTGAGGCAGTTTGGCTGCTTCTTCTAGTTTGATCTCCATAAGCAAAGCAGAGATGTCTCTTTGTGGAGCACCACCTCAGCATCAAGTTCTCACCCAACCTGTTACGTCCTTTAGCTACTGCTTCCTGCGTAAATATTGCCTCTCATGCCACACTGGTGGTGACATTGCCACTTTGTAATATGAATATGAAATACCAGTACTAACCAGAGCTTTTATGTCCTTTGTCTGAAGGAAACAATATTTCTACTCTGGAGGAAAGTGCTGCAAAGCCCTTATGCCTGTCAAGTCTGAGAAAAATTTTATGCCAAAACTGTCACGTAGGAAAGGGAAGAAGCACCCTATAAGGTCATTGTTTTCATCATCCTGAATAATAGAAAAAGCACTGTATCCAGTCCATCTAGTCTGAAGCTTCTTTGTGCAGCTCTTAAGATCAAGGCCAGGGAAGTGAAATGCCTGCTAGCAGCAGCAGCTGCAGCTAAAGCAGTGCTACACAGCCCAGACACCGAGCCCCAATGTGCAACAAAAGCCCCAGTCATAACAGCTGCATAACCAAAACCAAGCAGTGTTGCATGATGTTCACTCCACACCACCAATGTCATGACATACCAGTTGTGCTCCCATATTGCACAAGTGAAATGGTCATGAAACCTTATGACCAGTACTCTGTTGCCATCCCCCAGTTAAAATCTCCCCCAGTCTCTTTCCTAAGTAATAAAATGCGGCTGCAAACTGAGCCTATAGTGTCACCTGCTTTGCTCAGAACAGGTCCTGTTACAGCATTTCCCACCTGCCTGCCACCTATGTGCAGTGGTGCTAGTATCACCATAAAAGCAAGACTTTTCTTCTCATACAAGTAACATATACCCAAGTCTGGTTACTTAAAAGATGCTCCATGTGCTGTCAGAGTCTTCCATGTTACATCAATATTTTCCAGCTACGCCTATGCCACATTTCTGGCCTGATTAGCTTCAGGCTGATTAGGAATCAGAATCAACAACTGAGAGTGAATGGGTCAGGGATACATTTGCTCTGCCCCTGGGATAATATCATGTGGCTGCAAGGATTTGCAGGCATCATGAACATAGATTTACATTATTCTATGTTTTCACCATATTCAAACTTTCAGTTATAGCAGAGAGGATGAGATGGATGTGTGCATCCCAGGTTTTGAGCCTAATTCAGGTTTATTCCCTGATTTGGTGCCCTAAGGCCTGTGTAAAATGAGTTTTGATCCTGGGAAGAAAAAAAAAAAAAAAAAAGGCAGAACAAAACAGACGAACAAACAAAATATAGAATAAAAATTGTAGGAATTGTCCACTTTTAATATCTATGTCTTCTTCTCATTAGACTGTAAACTCCTGAAGGCTGTATCTTTTACTCTGTTTTTCTACCATCCCACAGTGTCTATGAAAATGGAGCTATAATTTTAGCTGAAACTTTCAGATCCTATTGTAAGAACAATACTAAACAAAATGTTCTGCCTGGTGTCTGAGTTTCGCCTCCACCACACTCTTTCTTTGGTAGTGCTGAAATAGTTCTGATTTTCTGCCTGGACCCTGCCAGTGGAGAGTGGAGGTTCTGAGCACTCACCCCAAAGCCACTAAAAAGTGGAAGAAATTGTTAATGTTATACCTCTGCCTCCATGAGGCCTTTGGAGCAGCAGCACCTAGATTAAATGTTTTGACTTTCCTATTACAAGAGGAAATTTTAATTAAAAAAAAAAAAAAAGCTGTTTATAATGGTTCCAGATGTTTAGCTGGCCCTACAGGCAGAGGGGGGGGGGGATAGATCTACAGGCATTTTGTTGGTTTCTGGACCAAATGGTCTTTCTAATGAAATTGAAAGAGACTGATTCAAAATATAGAAATAATGAAAAGTAGAAAGATGGTAAGTAAAGTTTAATAAGGCATACAAGGAACTTGGCTCCTTGTCAACAGAATGGAAGACAGCTGATCTGAATGGGGCACAAAATAATTCTGAAAATTATTATCAGATTTGATGGAGCCAGAAAGGTAAAATACTGTAAATTCAGCCAGTCGGGCAAATCTCATCTTTACTCAAAAGTACACATCTAACACATAATGGGGGCACTTCCCCCATTTAATCATATGATGCAGGCCAAATCCAGCTTAAAAGATTCTCTGTCACTTCCCTATCATTAAATTTGGCAGATGGCTGAACAAAGCATATTGTACCAAACTCTGTTACATCATTACCACTGCAATTTAAAATGTAGTAGGATGCTACTGAAGCAACTGAGGGATGCATTTGCCATATTATTTGTGTAAAGGCAATAGTTCTGCCTTGATCCTGAAGAGGTAAGGGTGAAGAGCTATTGTCGCCACATGTCTGCACATGACTCCTTACCTACACACCTCTTTCACAATATTTTTGTGACTGCAGAAGACCAGACTCTTGTCTCAATAATAGAGTCAATGCAGTCATTGTCAGGCTGATGGAACTTGTTCCAAAACTTTCCATTTACGACTGGTAGATCAAATTGTGGGCTGATCTGTGGGCTTTAGGGCTTTATATACTCAGGAAAAATGCATCAAAAAGAATCGGCACTGTAAGCTGTCTTGAAAATAGAGATGTGGTGTATTAGGCAGCTTAATAATTAAAGCAGGCAACAAGACTGTCAATCATAGAATCATAGAATGATAGAATGGCTTGGGTTGGAAGGGACTTTAAAGATCATCTAACTCCAACCCCCCTGCCACAGGCACGGATGCCACCCTCTAGATCAGGTTGCCCAAGGCCCTATCCAGCCTGGCCTTGAACACTTCCAGGGATGGGGCATGATTTAAGTCACGTATTTAACTCTATCAGCAAAATAAATAATTAGACACTGCTTCACTTCCACAGAAAACAAATTAAAGAGGAAATGATTAATGTTTAAAACCACTTTTGTGCTTGTGTCACAGATGTCTGTTGAAATGCTGTAGCATTTCAACATTTCAAAGAGGTTCTTCAAAATAAAGTAGAGACTCTTATTTACAGCAGAGAGTTCAAGGTCAGAGCAAGAAAGCAATCTTTTATATAGTAATTTACATATCAGTGACACCTAGCTCATTATAGAGCTATCTTACAGTCCTTCATCCTTTACATTCATCCTAACTTCAAGCTTTCAGTGGGAAGGGCATCAGAAGCCAAGATGAAAACAATAGTGAAATCTTCACAGTAGCTGAACATGTTTCACTCAGAGGAAATGGTCTCTGTTCTCTAGAATGACCATTTCAACATTACAGTATGTTCACAAAAACATAACCATTAGACAAATGAGTAGGATGTATGCTATCATAGAGCACAGAGAACCATGACTATTTGATTTGATAAAGATAAGTTGGCACATTTTATTAAAAAGATAGGGCCAAATTGGTAAAACTCAGATCTAATTCCAACTGTAAAAATAGGCAGGTATAGGGCCAATTGGATCATCAGTATGATCCTACATTTACTTTCTGGAGGTAACATGCCTTTCTCCAGTGAGTGAAAACCATTCTTGAACATGTTACTGATAAGTGAAATATAAAATAGTTTAGTACCTGGTTAGTAACTGCATTTCCTCACACAGATAATTACCAACTCCTGATGCAGATGAAATAAGCAAAGTACTAGTTAAGAAAAATGTTATCTTGCTGTGATTCAAATAAATTCTTGTACTTTTATGACTTTTGTAAAAAAATGTTTTTTTTTCACTGTGCCCATGCTGGTGTTTAGTCTTCCAGCATTGGTTAAATGAATCTTATTCAATGCCTCGATGGGTTGAGCAGTTGTCTATCGCCACCATCTCTGAACCCCCTTACAGATGATTTCCTAGCTGGGTGTGATTTGACTAGAGGTGAGAAAACCTTGTGCTGCCTAAATCAAGACACATATAAGTGTGTTCTTGTAGCATTTAAGGAAGATGCTACAGCTATTGCCCTCAAATATTGAAATTATGATTTTATTGATGGGTAATGTCAAAGGGTGTGTGTTATTTTGTGTGTGTGTCTTTTTAGTGGCCTTGGTATGCACAGTGATGGTTTCAGTTACGTCTTTTTGCTGCTCAAGCATATTTTTTCCTCTTTAAAGGAGATAGTGTGTGAAATGGATATGGAAAGCATTTTCTAAGATAGTGCTAAATAAATTCAGCATTGTGGCCTGGAGTATTTTATGACTTGAAGGAAGGAAAATTTAGAGTATGTCAGAGTGATTTTGATTTGAGAGTATGTCCAGATTTACAAGAATGGTTTGGCTGAATGTGTCAGAGCTCCGTAGAAGGATATGACGAGTTTAAGGGACTAAGAGAAGTTAGGTTTTGTTTGCGTCCCTGGTGACTTTGTCAAACAACTTAACTAGAAAGAGATAGGACAATATTTAGTATCTAGTTCAAAATGGGTCTTATAAGTTATTTCTTTCCAGCATAGCAGGACAGTACAGTATTTAATGATGTAATTTAGCACTACTGATATATTGGGGTGGGGGGGGGGGGGGGTGGGGAGGGGAAGTTGCATATTTACACATTCTCCAAAATTCAAGCAAACAGGCTTGCAAGTCACCACACAGATGCTGGGCAGTTTTTACCTCATCCCACAAAAATGAGGAAAAGATTCATGCCATCTCCTGAACTAGCAAAATCCCAGTTTGTAGCTGCTTCTGACTGGAGTTAGTGGGGCAAAGAAAATACCCCAAAGTTAGCAAAAATGTTTCTGTTCCCTGTGGACAAAAGAAAAATTAGATCTTGTTTTCACACACAGCAACAGTCTGTGACCCGTGCTTCCTGTCTCACCCCTACTCTGGCAGTTCACAGATGAGGTGCCTTTGCTGTGACTTTTCATATCCCTGCCTGCAAACAGCCACTACCCAGAGAAATTCATGTTATGACATGTAATTCAGTGGGAGATGGCTGGCTGAAGGACATGTGTGGCTAAATGCTGGGAGGAGGGGAGCAAAACTAGATAAGGTCAATCGTGATGAGAATGTATTTATTGCACCATATACAATGCTCAGGCACTTAGAGAAAATAAATTATGACAGGCTCCATAAATCTTACATTAGCCACAGAATAGCCTGCCCTGTACATTTTACCAAGTGAGAAGTGTGTGCTTCATCACAATCACACTTTCATGCCGACCTATAATTGGAGCAGTGTTAATTACATATCCTCTCTGGGGTTTGGTACCTTAGAGACATGTAAAACAGAAAATAATTAATCTAATTGTTTACTATGATTTTGCAAGGCTACACAGAATGACTGTTTCAGTAGGATAGGAGAGCTACAATAAGAAGCCTGTTACATAATCCTAAATGTGCTTGTGTGTATAAAGGATGAAAGATGTGATTAAACCAGAGACCTTTCATTTTCATATTAATTGAACTAAAGCAAATAGACAGATGGGAGGAAAGTGGAATAGGCACAGAGTGCAGCATCCTGCCATTATAGGAATATTCTCACTAACAAAATAATGAATTCCAGTTTAATACTGCTGATGGACACAGGAACGGGGTAACAACATCCTAAAGCCCTAAAATTGACTTATGGATTGAATGTAAGCCACAGGATAAAAGCAGAGGGAAAAATTTTATTCCAGCTTTGCAGAAACATTCCACGGGAGATTAAATCTGACAATGTCAAATCCATTTTCCATGGCTGGGTCATGAGAGTGGGAGAGCAAAGCACGGACTTTGCTGGGGAAGCCCATCACAGCCTCAGCTGAAAATAGGGTTGGAGTCTATGGAAGGGAAACAATGGATTGCTTCCAAGGGGAAGGTGGAGCAGGCTTTTTTTCCCCCTTTCTATAGAGCTGGGTGTTTCCACACCCAGGGATGATGTTTACTCTTGGATCCAATGGCAGCTTTTCAGTTTGTTTTGGGGGAATGCCTCAGGAACAGAACAGGTCTCTTAGCATGGTGACAGCCATTCTGGAGGTACATCTCTGAAGGGACCTGCATACACAAGAAGCCAGAAACTTGGCAACGTTTATGGGCCACAGTAACTGTATCACTGAGAAAGCTGATAGTTTAAAAGGAAGCAGCAACTTGAAGCATAATCAGGCTGGGATCTTTTTTTTTTTTTTTCCCCACAAAAGGACTAATCACAGTCATCATAACTGAACTACAGAGCACATTTTCAGCAGCAATGCTGAATGGAGAAGACTGCCACCTTCCTGTTTTTTAAGCAGACACCGCCACCCCCCAATCCATCCTTTTGGCTAACAGCCTGCCCTCCTTTCGCAGCTTTTAATATATCCACTTCACAATCCTACTCTTTCACAATTTTCATAGGCAAGTTAACATTGAAAGAGAAATGAAAAGCAGGAGAAAACTACAGAAAAGAGCATGTCTCTGACTCCAGTACAAGAGAAGGGCTGTGTTAATTTGACGGAAATTCCATTTTCTCCCTTCTCTCTCAAAACCGTGTACAAATTAGACATTTACATGATAGATGAGTATGTTCCTTTCTTAGGGAAAGTACTCTGCTGGAACTCAGGGCTCGGGTAAGTTCCATGTAATGTGGCCGTTGCCAAGGAAACTACTTGTTCTTAATTGAATAGTAGAGAAAATATTTGTGTAACTTATTGGCACATAAATTAAGGTTGCCCTTGAGCAGCCTTAAACTCACACAACGTTCTTTTTTAACCAAATTGTCCTAGTTTCTTCGATTTTCTTTTAATGCACAGTCATTGAAGAGTTACAAGATGCCAGTGGCCACTTCTCCAGCTTGATCCACTGTTAAAGTTTCACAGTGCTTAACTTCAGCACCTAAAAGAGAAAAAGATGCTTAACTTCAGCATCTAGAAGAGAAGAAGATGCCAATGCAATCTCAAGCAAGTATGGGCTAAGCAGAGAAAAGGTAATAAAATAAACTGTCACAGTTAAAACTCCTCCCAAAGAGAATGTCACATCTCCAGTGATAATGGAGTTGATAACCTCAGTTTGTCTACACTGGTGTAGCTCCACTGAAGTCAATAGATTCTCGTTGATTTACATCTGCTGTGCCTTTTATTTGTTGTTTTTGTCTTTCCCCTGTCACTGGTTCTTTATTCAAATTAGTATTAGTTTCCAAAGGACAAAAGAAGTGGCTTTCTAAAACAAGTATTGTCTTTCATACAAAGCCTGAAAGACCATAAAACCCCATGACAAGCTGGTTAAGATAAGCAGTCCTCCACTAGTAATGATGCACAGGAGCCAGAGATTTTGCATGACTTCTGTGCAGAGAGAGAAGTGGGATCAGGGTGGACCATATCACCTTAACTTTCCATTCCCCATGTGCCTCCTTCCCCGGATGCTGCTGAGAAACTGGGGAACATCAAGGACCCTCCGTGGTCAGTTCAATTATTCTTCTTCAGTTGTTTCTTGCTTTAAAAAAAAAAAAAAAAAAAAAAAAAAAAAAAAAAAAAAAAAAAACATGATGTCTTGCAGGAATTGTCAGTAGGGAGACCTCTGAAAACCTAATAATCAATTCTGCTCTTCCAAAAATGAACGTGCTTTTTCTTTTTTTTCACGCTGCCATACATAGGATGCTTATCAACTTTCATTTATAATATTTCAGATTTTTAATGTTACATGTATCTGAAGATTCTTTGGAATACGCTTATTAAAGTACTTCACAACAGGGACGCAAAAAAATAAGATTAATTTGGGACTTTTTAAGGAACCAATTAACTACAGAAAACATTAAACTATCTAATTTTCACTCTCTTGGCAAATCATGTTCTCTTCAGCTATGGTCCTACTATTTTGGAGCTTAGGAATGGCTCTTCCATCTTCCAGTCCTGCAGGAGAGTCATGCTCTGTCATCATCCCAGGCTGCAGGATGCCTAGGACACAGCTGTTACATTAGACGCTGTAAAAATGCCTCTAAATAATAGACCACTGTAATACTTCCCACATAGTCCCTTGCCACTAATTGATTTCATTTTCCTAATGAAATGTAGCTTTTAAAGTTCAAATAAAAAGCGGATTCTTATCCAAGCAATTTCTCCTTCCACTAGCGATATTGTAGGATGGTGGTGAGTGCAACATCCTTCAGCCAGTGATGAGTGAGTGCAGGGTCTATACATAGAGATAACTGAGAATAAATGATGGCTAATTTGGGGTTATGTGCTTGACAGATAAACCCTCTGGATAAAGATGTGGCAAGATGCTATGAGACTAAGGCAGGGAATCAAAACCTCATCATATATGTGACCCCGTCATTTAAGCTGAACTTGTATTAATAATGGTCCTTAACAAGCTGTCAATCTTGAAGGAGAGCCTTTGTGCCTTTTCCCTGATGCTTTTGTGTTCACTTACTTGATGGCCACAAATCAGCCCTGGCTGAGTTGCGGTCAGTCCTAGGGCAGCCTGGGAAAAATGAAGCTTCTTTCTCCTTGCCTTCCTTGTGCGCTTGTATTTTTCCCCTTTCTTTACCTTTCACTGCCACACAAATCATAAAAATTGCAGGCTGGGGGTCAAGTTGCATTAAACAAGCATACACCAGTTTCCTCTTTGTTTCAGTGCAGAGCACAGATGGGAGGGGGGAAACTGCTGTTCCACTAAGATAATTGCCATTACAGTAGAAAATCCAGAAGCAACCCAAGGCACTGGAAAATACTTCGGCAGAGAGTGTTTTTCAGCCATTAGGAAATCCAGATGGGTTTCTTAATACCTACTGAAAAATAGTAACAAGCAATTCACCGAGTAACTAAGTTCTGCTCCACGTTTCCAATCTTTCATGTTAAATGAAAAAAAAAAAAAAAAAAAAAAAAAAAAAAAAAAAAGAGAGAGAGAGAAGGAAAGAAGGAAAAGAAAACCTAAAAAGACATGCTGAGGACAAGAAAATAGTCCACAGGTGTGGTAAGGACACCACAAAGCCTGGTACTCCCAAAACCTCAGGGCCATCTAGTAAAGGGAAGTGGGACGGCTTTGTCTTCATCAGTCATCCACTCAGGTCTATTGGTGGAGCTGCTCCAGGACCCCAGACAGCCAACATGCAGAGTGAGAAGTGCAAAGCCTGCCTGGAGTAAGGATGTCTGTACCAGCTGCACGTGCAGAGACATATTCTCAACTACTTTAAAATACAGTGACACAGAGCATGTTTGGGTTGTTCTGGCACAGGAAGGTTGGTTTGAGCATCATCTCAAGACTGGGCCTGCTCACCATCTATGATGTACATAGACACAGTATATAAGAGGACACCATGCTGTAAACTCCATCAGTCTCTGGTGAGAGCAGGCCAGTGTTCCCTTGTCTCACAGGCTCCAGCCTGCCTGTCCATGCAGTCTTGGGGGGGACACAAGACAGAGGCAAGCATTCTGCAACGCTGCAGGCCTTGAGCTCTGTCTGCAGCCAGGATGTAGGCAGCAGTGTGAGCAGATGGCATGGGAGTTACAAACCACAGGATCATTAGCATGGTGATGTCTCTTCCAAGCCCAGCTGATGGCTTAATGCAGCATGGCCCATGCTACACAGTTCTTGAAGAGCGTGGCTGCACCCTCAGCTGCAGCATCACCATCAAGGCAGCACACTACAGTGAGGGTGTGACTTCTGCTCAATCTCCCCAATCTCATTTGTTGTGAAAGCCATCGAGATACATTCAGATTATCTTGGTTTGCATCAAAAGTCATAATTTATGTGGTGACTGCAATACTGTTTGGGCTACGACATTTCTGTTGACATTTCACTAGTTTAAAATCACAGTTGTGGAGGAGGTTGAACACTTTGGCAGGTAGCAGGTAAGATGAGAGAAGGGGAGAGAAAATAATATTTTTCTTCCCCTGAATATTTGCCTTCCCCTGAACCATGCATGCAGTAATTTCTGCCCCAGATTCCATTTTTATTTTTGCCACCAGTTCCAGTAAACCACTTTCAATCTCTCTCTTCCTAACTACTGCTGCCATGGGGATCCATAATCCACATCTATATTTCAGTACTGGAAGAAGTGTTTGACTTGTGCAAAGCACTTTGACATCTCAGATGGAAGAACATCTAGAAATGAAAAGTGTCTTACTACCATTGTTTTGTTACCACTACTCATTTGAAATGCAAATCTGATAAGGCTCTGAAAAACAAACACCACCCAGTGCTTGAGAGGCAGCAAGGCCCAAATCAATTGGCAAAACCTTCCACTTCTACAGACTTCGGGACCTGAATACACTACAAAGATTCAAATTTCACCTTGGTTATTCACAAACCAGGAAAGTGATGAAAGGCTGCTTTTGGTTGCTTGTGTTAGGTGTAGCCTTTTTCAAGGTCAGGATTGTCCCCTTTTCAGACCAATTTTTCTATATTTCCTATGGTTCTTGAAAAGAATGAATGGAAGCAGTTAGACATAGTGATCTACTTGCATTCAGCATACCCAAAATAAAAGAGGAGTTCTCATTGACTTTGGTGTGTCAAAAGATGTCTGGTCTCATTTTTGTTTCCTGAGACACACCTTGCTCACAAGTAAGACATTCTCTGTTTGAAAAGATGTATACGAAAGAGTTACTTCCCTCATGTCTAGATCTGATTCCTCCACAGTTTTATACCAAAAAATAAAATAAAATAAAATAAAATAAGTTTCTACTTCTTTTACTTTATTCTGATGTAACAGCCAACAGACTCAGGAAAACTAGTGACTATTGATTTTAATCATAACTTGGACTAGCCCAGGGCCATCTATCTGACTTAACCTGTTGGCACCTCATGCAGGGTGGGAGCATGATGCTAACCCTGCAGTCAGCCTGACCTGGCTCAGAGGGACTGAGCCGCTGCTCCCTCTGGGGAAGGAAACAAAACAGAGGAAGGAGATGCATGCAAAACCTTTGAGAACTACTGATCTACAGAAACTCACTTCATCTGTGACCTGTATTACCTCTGAGACCAGATATTCAAGGTTAAAAAAAAAAAAAGGCCCATCAGTTGCTATTCACAACCACCACTATCTAATGAAATGAGAGCAATTATTCTCCCAATTTGTTTTATCTATCAATAAGGCATTAGAGATCTATTACAGCCAAGGAATAAAGAGACAAACAGGTTCATCCTGCTACACACTGAATTGGATACTTCAGTCTATTATCTGGTTTTAGCTTTTGTGTCTTGATGAGTGTGATCTATTTACTAATGGAGTTAAATGGAAGCAGAATTAGGTCTCTTAAATCAGGTTGGCTATTGTGGCATTTCACATCCCATTATCACATCAGTATTCACAACCTCTAGTTCAATTTCCAAATTCAACTTAAGAATATTTTAAACTCAGGGAGGGAAGTGCATCATGCACAGAGCATTCATATGCAGAAAATATTTGTCATGAACAATCTAGATAAATTCTCATTTCATAGGGTAGGACACACTCATAAGCAAATACAGGTATCATGCCTTTGTAGTAAATTACCCTGCTGTTTCTCAAAACAAAATCATCCATTAGGTCTTATTTTGCTGATTATAATGTGCACAATGGTGTATGGACAGGATACTGAAGAATACAAAAATTTTACTGTTCAGACGTTGGAGTTTGACTTAAGTAATTAAGAAAAAACAGGGTTTTGGTTTGGTTTTAACATTATTCTTATGTATGCCTAGCTAAGGATCACAAAAAGTCAGCCTTTCAATACCAGGTCTTGGCAGGGATTTAAAGACTAGCTGACAACAGTTTGAAAGTGAGACCTTTATCAGTACTGCACATAATACCACTCTTAGTAAATTACATCAGGAAATTTGCCAAGGCTGCAGAGACTGCAGGTCATCTGGAGGAGCTGTCTGAAGCTTTATCTATTTAATAAAAAATAAATAAATAAATAAATAAATAAATAAATAAAAAAAACAGAGACTGCCCTTTTCATATATTAAAGCCCAATGAAAAGACACTATCAGAACCAGATATTCAGATAACAGATAGGCACAGGTGGCTTCCAGTAGCAAAAAGCATCTTGGAAGTACTAAGAAAATAAAGCCAATGGGCTTACAGTTTTTGCTTGCAGAACTGTTTTAGAGTGATGTTGCCCTTTTGTGCATTCATCATGCACTGACATAATATTAATTACAAAGCAGCTGGAACAAGCACTCTTTAAAACCTTCCTGCCTCAAACCAAGTTCAAGTTTGACTTGAAACCTTCCTGCCTCAAACCAAGTTCAAGTTTGACTTGTCCCGTCTGTTTCATTGCACAAAACAGCTTTGAGATTGCTACACTCAGAGTCAGCAGCTATTGTCTAAACTGATCAAATGAACTTCATACATGGTTTAAAAAGCTGGGCTTGGAATAGGAATTAAGATAAACTAGCAGATTTGCTGAATTCCAACAGGTGAGGATGAATAAGAGATTTAATTAAGAGAAATACTTTGTAGGTAGTAAATTCTGGAAATAATGACTGTCATGAAGTTAATCTGTAACCAAAAAGCAGTCATTGGCATAATTTGTCACACCATCAGATGAACATAGGGTGGTGCCAGGAGCAGGATGGGGGAATGGGGACAGTGCTAGAGACAGAGGTAGAGAAGCCCAGAGATTTCTATCACATATGTTTATGGGAGCATGGGATTTCAGCTCCAAACACAAGTTTGTGAGAGAATCAAAGAGCCATGGAAATGTTTCTTGTAGCTCTGCAGGTTTTTTGTATGACCTTCTGCTCACGGAGGCCTATCATCAGCACCAGGTCAGGCCAGCTGTGGGTTTGAATAGCCAAGTGCTGAAAACCTTGAAGAGTTAGGTTCCACAGTCTTAGTAACACTGCTTCAAGACCATATACACTGTTATAAGATCAGCCTTCATTTCTTCTCATTGGATTAGACAAGCTCAGTTTACTTAGTCCCTCCTTACAGGTCCTGGGATTTAGGTCCCAGTACCTTGTAGCCCTCCCTTGGACTTTCTCCATTTTTTCTACACCCCCTTTGAACAGAAGGCCCCAAACTGAACTCAGTCATCCAGTTATGACCTCACCATCACTAGGTAAAGGAGGAAAATTACTCCTCCCAGTCTGCTGGCCGCATCCTTCCTTACACAGTCCAGCATGCAGCTTGCCTTTATTCATGATGGGAGCACAGCTCTCTCTTATTCACCCTGGCATGCACAATAACTTCTGGATCCTTACCACCCAGGTGCCATTCAGCCAGTCACTGCCAAGCCTGCGCAGATGCACCAGGTTATTCTACCCCAGCTCCAGACCTCCACATTTCTACTTGCTAATCATGCTGAGCCCCATGAGGGCTGAGTTCATCCAGGTCTCTCTGGGCAGTTCAGTTGTTCAGCCAAGCTCCAGGTCTTCTACCACCTTCAATTTGCAGAGGGTTGGCTATGAGCGCATCTAAGAGCAAAACTAATAGAGAGGTTGAATGACACATTCACTGTCGGAGAATGGGCGGGCCCAGAGGAAGGCACCAACATGGATTCCTCTCATACATCTACCCATGGGCATCAGTGTCTGTCCAGCTCTGGTGTTAGAGACCGGCAGCAAAGAAGCAGGAAACAGGAAAGAAACAGCAGAGATTGTAATGATAGGATGAATCTACACTTGACTGATAATCAGCACATTTTCCACTTCATCAGAATTGTTCCTAATCTTGCACTTCCTGAGTATTAGCTACCATACCCCAAGTACCTGGTAACCCACTGAAGGAGAAGAAACCAACAATGGTTTCTTCCCAGAACCTTTCAGAAATGGAAGCAGGACCAAAGGGTGTTAATTACTGCTGGCCCTAAATGCCTTTCTGAAGATGGTTTTTCATGGAAAATGATTTTGGTAAAAGGTATTTCATGCAAGCAAAATGTCTGTTTTATTTTAGATTGTCTCCCATCTTCCTCGTTGCATTGCACTTGCGATCCCATCACAACAGCTCATTTCTCCAGGGGAGAGTGAAGTGCAACATGGGGAAAAAAAGTGTGACAGAAGGCCACAGGCTTTGAAAGCAAAGGGGAATACAAGATTAATTTTCCAAGACAAATATTTAAGTGTCAGCCAAGAAATGTGGAGGTCTGGAGCTGGGGTAGAATAACTCTAAGAAAGAGGGAGAGAGGGAGAGAGGGAGAGAGGCTGAGAGACAGAGAATAGTAAAGTATTTTCTGTGGGTACTTTTTCTTTTTTCCTTTTATTAACTCCAGAATTAACCCTAATTCTATCATCATTAATTCCTGGAATTTCTCTAAATGTTTGCCAGGCTTTTCATGAGGTATGAGACAGTACATGATAGGATCAAAAATTGTCTACAGTAGAAAGATTTACTTCCACCTACCAGCTATTGCTTATCATTATTCATAAGAGCACTATTACTAATCAAACGTAGCATTGCATCATTTCTTTTAGCATTCCTTACAGGACAGTATAAAGTAAGCAATAAGAAAGCACAGTTCACTTATCTAGAGCACTTCCATTAGCATACAAGGAGAAAAATATACAAAGGAAACCCAGGGTAATTGTGGCTTTTCAGGCACCACTGATTTTGATAAGGATATCACCAGCTCATGCAGTAAATAAAGGCCTTCTTCCAGGAAAGGGTAGTTAGGAAAAGTGTGGGCAGATGTTTTTCAAACTTGCCTTGAAGCTTTCTGAATATTTTGTCACAGACCAGAAACTTGTACTTGCATTCCACAAGCTGTTGAAATGCAGGAGCTGTGAGCTCCATAGTTTTTTTCCATGGGCATTTACCTATGCAAGTTTCTTTTTTTTTTTTTTTCCTGGGGGGTGGGGGGTGGAACACGACAAAAGGAACAAACAAAACCTGTTTGTGAATTACTGACTAAGTACTTTACAGCAGTATCATTGAAAGAGCTCTTGGAGAGAAGGGGACTGTAAGAAATTTTTCTGAGCTTGAGTGGGTGCTGGGAGATTTGGGTGAGGTATCCAGTGGTGAGGCAGTGGATAAAGGTAGTTGTGAGCTGGGTCAGAGGCCGTGTCAGAGGTGGGCTCTGCAGTGATGGAAAGCTGGCCTAGAATAGTCAGAGTGGCTTCAGAGAGTGAAGGAGGTCTGGGGTATCCCTTCAGCATCCCCTTTCCTCCCAGGCGACAACAGCCCTCTGCTCTCAGAGCAAACTGCAGATGCCCCTTGCAGCCACACTGCATGGTTTCTCATCTCACAAGGAAGCAACAGACAGTGTGAAAACTTCAGACAAGTGTTCACTACTTTATTTCAATAAATAAGGTACTCAGCCACAGAAGAAAAATATAACAAAGAACAACAACATCAACAAAGAAATAGATTAACAAAAAATCATATTGTCATAAAAAATCTGTCCTTGGTCCAGTCTTAAAAAGAAATGTGGTTTTGAGCTGTAGATGAATTTGAACATATTGCAGGCCATTTCTAGAGTGCCTGGGAGTCAAAATTTGTTGAACAAACCATGTCCTATAGGTTGGGTTTGGGAGTCACTGCACTGTGTACCCATTCATGCAGCTTCTTTCTCTCCCTAAAAGCAAGAAAGCAACATGGATAGTGGCAGGGCATGCAGGACTTTGTTCTGAGCCTTTCTCAACATAACATGCAAAGCTGAATTAATTAACCCACACAAACTGTTTCTGAGGTAGCCCAGCCAGAGGTATTTTCCCTATGTAACAAGAGATGAAAGTGGTTCTCAGCACTGAATTTACATACAGTAATTTCCACAATCTCACCAAGAAACAGCAAAGTCCATAAGTACATTTCTGATTTCTGGCACATGCCCAGGCTAGCAGGAATTGAGAAGTTAGAGAGCAGCTCCTCACAGGCCAGCAGCAGAAGGCCCTGTCCTGTAGGGTGGTGTCCCTGATGCAATGTCCTATTCTCACAGTATTTTTTTGGAAGCATTTTCTCTGGGCCCCAGAACAAATTCCAAGCAGCCATTTGGGGTGTCCCTGGCTTTAGCACCAAGCTCCCTTGCTGCTCCAGCTCCCCAACATGTACTGTCCTGACCTCCTGTTCCCAATGACAGAACAGTGGGGCAGAGTGCAGCCCAGCAGCTCCGTGTTGCTCCCAAGAGGTGATGCACTCTCCATGGTGTGCAGAGCATCCCCATTAGCAAGAAGGGTTTATAATCTGATTGTAAAGAATGTGAAGCACATTTGGATTCTTCTGGATGAATGACAAATAAATGACAACAGGAAAGTTATTAACTGGCTGACATAACTGGCTCATTCAGGCTCCCAGCTCTGCTCAGTATCTGCATGACCTCACCTCTGCTTGAGAGACAAAGTTTTTACTTATTGGCTGGCCAAATCTGAAAATAAAAGAAAATGAAAGAAAATAGAAAGAAAGCTTTTTCTTTTTTTTTCCTTTTCTTTTCTTTTTTTTTTTTTTTCTGGCAAGAGGAATGAGCAATGACAGCAGTCTGGGCAGGGCAGTCTGCTGGGCAGCTCTGTCAGCTGGGGAGGTGACTTCAGCTGGGAGCAGAGGGAACACCACCCTGGGATGCAGCTGAGCAAGGGAGACTGGCATTGATGTTGTCTTCTTAGCATTGCTTGGGAAAGGGGACACAGGCAGGGCTGTGGGAGATGTTGGTAAGTTGGAATAGCTGGCAAAATTAAATGCAAGTCTTACCTTCCACCAAGAGCAGGAGAAACTGCACACAGTCTTCCAAGCAAAGGCTTGCTCAACAAAGGATGAATTTTGAGCAAAGCAGAGGGTAGAACTGAAGGGAGAAATGGTCTCCTGCTGATTCCCCTGATTTACAGCTACAGCTGCACTACTGTGCTTACATTTAATCCGACAGGCTGTTGTGTCACGAGGCCTAGGAGATCACCAAAACAAACTGTACACAGACAGCAAGTAACTGGCTAGGCCTCCTGCTTGCAATCACCAATGTGAAGACAACTGGTTACACATGAGGACAGCATCTATCTTTTCAAACCCCCACCATGAGTGCATAGGTGACAGCCTGGCTGCCCATGTGCATCAAGAAATGCTGCAGTTCCTTCTGCAGACAAAGAAAGTAGGAGATGCTTGCTGGCAGGCCTACAGGAGATGAATGTCTGGTGAGACATGCATGTTCAATGCTAGGTCCCCTCCAGGCAGACCCCTCCTGCCATGCCACTGCCACAGAGCAGTGGAGAGGTGCAGCATTAGGGGTGTCTGCTGTGCCCATCAGGTCACACCATCCCACCTCACTATCCCGCACAAGCCCTTCTTTGGTGATGCCCAAGACTATTTCCTTAGGAAAGGGTCAGGTATGTAATACTCTGTGGGCTGTCTGGGGTTGCCAGAGGAGACTTAAACCATGAAAATAACAAGACAGAACTTTGGACTTTGATAAAAGGCACTTAGGCATCTCACTTCATTCATTTCAGAAGGAATTAGGTACCTAAGCAGCTTTAGAAAGCTTGCACATACCCATCAAATGAGGAATTTTGTCACTTCAGGTTATTACTACATTCCTCTGTAGTCAGCAACAAACCCCAGTTTAGAAATAGGAAGCGACTGCTGAGAGGCAAGAGGAACAGGATGAGTTTTCTGTTTGTTTTGCATGGGGAATTGGCAGCAGTTGTCTCTGCTGACTGCAGTGCTACTCGGCATTCCCGCGTCCTCACCAGTCACCTCCAGCCTCGGGCATCTCCCTACCACTGCCTACCCAGGCCCCATCTGTTCAGTAAATGATTTGGTATGACTTACAAATGAGGATTATTTTTCTAAGATGCCATGGCATTTTCAGAAATTGGTTTGGATTCCTAGCAGGAGAGAACGACCTTTTCCTTTCTATTATGTAGTTTTGAAAGTGTTGATAGCTCCATTATTGCTATTGGCTTATTAGTACAGCTTTAGCATAAAAATAACAAATTCTGATTCATTTTCTTCATGCTACAGAACACATGGGTCAAAAAATGAGGGGAAAAATACTTGTTTGAATAGATGCTGCGTCTCTCATTTATACACTTAAATTGATAATAGAATCACAGAATGGTTTGGGTTGGAAGGGACCTTAAAGACCATCTAGTTCCCATCCTCATGTCATAGGCATGGACACCTCTCACCAGCCCAGGTTGCCCAAAGCCCCATCCAGCCTGGCCTTGAGCACCTCCAGGGACAGGGCATCCACAGCTTCTCTGGGCAGCCTGCCCCAGTGCTTCACCAACCTCTTGGTGAAGAAATCCTTCTTTATATCAAACCTAAACCCACCCTAATTTAGTTTAAAATTTTTATGCCTTGTTCTATCACTACATGCCCGTGTAATGGACAGGTCAGATAATTTGATCCCCAAAGCTAATGCCTGTTTTCCAATGTTGATTCAAATATAGTACTGAATTTACTCCAGATTTAAAGATCTTTCCTTCTAATTGATTTCCTTCTAAATTGATTTCTCTATTCTTACAAAGTTTAAAGTACACCACTTGACTAGATATTTGCACTTCTTCAAGAATCTATAATGTGAACATTATTTCCCTGTCATTCCCTAAAAGGCTTTCTGGATTTTTGCCTGGGATTAAGTGCACTGGATGATGTTGGGTCATCTGTGTTATGCTTTGCTATTATTTTTTTCTGAAAAGTAAATGAATAAAAGCAAGCATAATAGTAGTTGCATCCATCCCTTAAAGTGCATATATTTAGCCAAAAGCCAATACAATGTGACTGTGTAATTTTATACAATCTCCCTTCTCTGAAAAAAAAAAAAAAAACACAACATAATGTGCATTAATAGATCATTACTTGTGTGATTTCTTAGCCTTGTTTAGGTTTGGAAGATTTATAACATAACACTCAAAATACAGAATATGCTGACTGTCAAAGTCTTGACTTCACTTTGGCTTGAGAGGACAATTATTGTCTGGCCAGCCTCTGTGCTCCTCTAGCATAAGGATTAACAACCTCTGAATTCATACATAGCTCCACTGTAATACACAGAACATTACATTCCAGGTCATCCAGGTTATTTCTGTCCAAAAAAATACTTCCTCTATGACCTTGTTTCAAATAATAAGGTTTTTGTTTGTTTGATTGATTGGTTGATTGATTCTGAGCGTTATTTTTTTTCCACTAAAAGCAAATACCACCAGGCAACGCTCAGCTGTTCAAAACAAACTAAAGGGTTTGGTGGAGTCCTGATGCAAGCCTCGGAGCAAAGCCTTTGAAGTGCTGGTAGTACACTCACCAACACATGGGAATGCTTCCACCTGAATGTTATGCAATGATATAATGCATAATGAGTATTGTGAACCTGGGCAGAGCACGGCTGTGATGGAGTTTCATGTCACTCCCTTACCATGTTACACAAGTCTCATGCTGCACTGGGGACCTAAAGGTTTGCCACTCTCTGTATGTCAGCATCACAGAATCCCAGAAGGGCTGAAGCTGGCAGGGACCTCTGGGTCCATCTGGCCCAACCCCTGCCCAAGCAGGGACACCCAGAGCAGGCTGCCCAGAACCATGTCCAGGTGGCTCTTGGAGATCTCCAATGAAGAAGTTCCCAAGGAGGGAGTGTCCCTCCTGTTCAGAGTGTAAAAGCTCACAGAGAAATGTATAGCTGTACCAGAGGGCAGGAAGAGTTACTCCATCCCTACTAATCAGCACACAGACACCAGTGCAGCTGCTCTGTAGCTGGTCCTCTCTGGGGACCCTATTCATGTTTGAGAAACTGGCCACTATCTGACACTACTGACAACTGCATTTCTTTGGACTTGTTTGATTTGGATTTCTACTGGTTGCTGTTTAGTTCTGAGTTGCCAGCAGACTGTGTGATTAATTCTCTGTATGAATGGAAATACCGTAAGATTTTTGAAAATATGGTTTCTGTTTCTTGGGTATTTCTTGTGACAAATGATATCAAGTGATATCTTCCTGGCTGCATACTTCACGTGGCAAGATGCAGTCTTGCATTTCAAACTCAGGATATTCCTGCCTCTTGATTTGTCCTGTCCTTGAGATAGAGCAATATGCCACATGTGACAAGAGAGCAATTTCATGGACTCCTACTCTGCCTAAAAGTGACAATACAGAGAAGGCATCTTATCTGTGCTGGTGGCTCTTTCCCATATGCATCAAGTCACAGAATCAAAGTCCTTCCATGTTTGTGCCAAATGTCTTCATTTGTGCCAAATGTCAATGTTCCTTCCCTCACAAAATGCAAACCACAACTCTCCTTTTTCATTTGACTTTTCCCAAACTTTCTCTGTATGCTCATCCTTACCTTTTTTTTTCTTTTTTCTTTTTTTTTTTTTTTTTTCTCTTCAGCAGTCCATCTGCTGTCAACATTGCGCAGGGCCCTTCGCAGAGGTTTTTGTGGTTACACAGGACCTGTTTTCTCTTGGGTCCCCATGAACTGCAAAGGCCAGTGTTATAAGACTTCTCTGCCTTTCATGTATTTTGATTTTCAATTTTTGTCAGAAAGTCATGTGCCCACTAACAGAAAGGTAAGCAGAATTCACAGTGGACTTAAAAGCTCAAACTTTATCTTATATAATAGTTATAAGGCAATATATATATGATTTTATATAAATTATATATGTATTATGCAAATAACATAGAATACCATTTATAACATATATACCATTTATATATAATTAATATAATTATACAGTACGTAATGATTAAATTAGTCCAGGTAAAAAGTGTTCCTGCTTTGTATCCCAGCACAGCAAGGAAGAAATAATGTTTTGTCTGATACAATTATATCCTGTACCAGAAGCAGACTGAGATACAACAACTGCTAATGGAGTTTTTGCTATACATGGGAGCATTTTTAAGAAGCCAGTAGCAATCTGAAACCACCGTATGCCAACTTCATGGGAAGTGATTTTGAGTTCTCAAGGCCCACAAAGCAGAGCTGTTTTATGTGGAGAGTCCAAGCAACTGGTTGAGCAGCTCTGAACTTCCTCCCGAGATCAATTCCCATCACCTGAGATGAAATAAGCCATCTGGAGGTTACCAGTCTGGTCTCTGGTAACTGTTTAGTCCTCCTCTATAACAGACAGAGACCTCAAAAAACAGGTCAATGACAATGGCCAACTACAAAATGGCTAAATTCTGGGGATGTGAATCCTATGTCTGAGCCCTTGCACTTTTGATCAGCCTTCCCCTCATGTGGTTGCTATGTGTTTCCAACATCTCTCTGTTTGTATCTCCACAACTTTCTTCTTCCTTCATCCTCCTCTTTCTCATTTGTGTTCCTCCTGACACTTTCTGTTCCTCTTTCTTCACGCAGTTGCCTTGTGTCCCCTTTCCCAGAAAATGTCCTTTTGGCTAGCTGCACTTTGCCACCACACAAATATCAGATGACAAATATTAGATACCTTCTCCTGGCTAGCACCACTGAAAATCCTCTACAGCTTATTTCCTCTGTAGGTAGCTGTTCAGTTTTCTTACTATAGAAATAGCCATGGGCTCTTCAAAGATAAATTACACATGGTATATGGGCTGGATATAACAGGAAAAATTGAGCAACATGACCAGGATATTATGAGTTCTGTAATATTGCTGATATTTTTGCCTCATAGAGACAAACAGTACCAGTGAGGTTCCTCTGTCAGACAAAAAAGAATCAAAAACTCTCAAATAATCTTGTGAAGTAAAGGCAGCATGCATCTGTCTGCTAGGAATGGAAGGGAAAACACATAAAACCTGCAAGTTCACACCCTGGGGAGAGAAGCAAGAGAGAAAAGCCCGTGGTCTGTAGCCCTCCCATCTCACCTGGGCACTGTACACACTGTTGATGCATAAACATTTTCACATGGAAGATAGTGAGACAGCCTCATGAGG